ATGTTAGCAGAGATTACAAAGAGGTGTCGATGCCTTGATAATTAAGTTATTTATAATTAATTTGTATTGGTTTTCTATTTATTTATAGGTACTTTGACTTGAGTTTGAGATACATCAGTGATCAATCTTTGGAGTACATTTTGTTCAGCTCCTTCTCTCCCTCTCTCTGTACTCCACCCCCTTGTTCCGAGCAAGGAAGAAGTTCAAAGAACAAAAGTAGTCTGATCTGCTACAGAGCTGAGGAGTTCTGTGATTTCCAAAGCGGAAGTAGTTAGTAGTTCCCAGAAAACATACACATTTAACTCCCAAATAAGATAATGAAAAACAATGTATGATATTGTTTAAATGAATGATTTCAGAGGCAAATCAGAGGCTACCGATTTGTCATCATATGTATACAGCTGGCTTCAGAGGGCAGAGAGGAGATTAATTAGACTTTGAATTATTAAACAAGTTCTGAGATATTTGATGTTAAGTTATACATGCCTTCAAACCAAGTCTGGGAAAAGTAAGGCATAACCCTTAAGATCAACTTTCTGTTAAAAAGACTCACCATCTGCCTCTGGCTGCAGATCTGTGCTGCTGGGTGTTCCTGCGTCGTTGCATTTGTTGAGAGATTGTTGTCATAGCAGGTCACTGTGATTGGCAGGACCTGTTTATTCAAAGATGCAACATGCTTTCAATGAAAGAAACTAAATGTTGTCGAAAAACAGTTTTTTGTATATGTTGTGACAATCTTCTTCTGATCACCATCTTTTCATTAAAACTTTACATTTCAAATGTACTTTTTTTGGCACATCTGCCACAGTTTACTGATGTTACTTTGAGTCCCTGTTTAAGATTCAGGGCATTCAAAAATATGTTTTTAATTAACATGAATAACTGAACATTCTGTAATGATAATTTTTGTTGTCATACATTTTGCACACACACACACACACACACACACACACACACACACACACAGCTTCCATTATTGCAGTGACCACATTTAATCCAGCTGCCATTTCCGCTGCCAGCTACTGAGTCATTAGCATAATTATAACATGCAGAGATTTTTGGAATGAAAGTGTGATTCTTTCCAAAAGCGTTGTCACGCTGCCTCACTTGTGGTTTTCCTCCTCACTCACACTTAAGTTTCCTCCCATCTGCTCACTGAATACTACAAATTGCATAAGTAGGAGCAGTTCTCATCCTTATCTTCACGAAATGTCCCAACAGATTTCTGAAGGACTCTTGTGTCTGTTGGCCTTTTTCACCAGCCTTAGTTAGATGAGGGTTTTTTTTTTAACGTTTATGTAACTGTTTTAAATTTCCATACTTTAGTTACAGCATTTGAATAATCAATGTTTTGCTTGATAAACCCAGACATAGAGACCTTCAGGTCCTGCAGTAATGGATTTCATGGTTAAGAAGTCACAACAAAGATTTGTTTGATTTAAAGCTGAATAATTGCACAACTCTGGCTGCATTTTGGAATTAGTCCAAAAATAATTAAGTAGTTTAACAATAATATGTTGTTTCATCTCTCAGAAGAGAACCAGTAATCAGATTAGTACTCAGAGTAATGAAGTAATAAATGACAGACTAGAAATAGATGACATTCAGAACAAGTTTTCAAAAGAGAAAGTAACTGAATATAACTTTCATCATCATCCAGTTACATTGACATAACAGCCGACCAGATGTGTTAACACATTAGTTTGTATTTAACGTGTCCTTGCGAAATAGACCTGTAAGTGATAAGCTAAAAATAACTAAAATAAAGGATTAGGAAGTAGACTCTACACATTTGACAGAAATCCATCCAAAAACGATACAAGCAGAAATGTTTGCTTAATATTGTTTTTTATTCTAAACTAGGTTTGCCCGGCTCTGAGACATTTGCTGCAGTATAAAGGAATCATCAATGCAATCAATGCAGATGGAAAATCCTAAACATCTAATCAAATGCAATTGTTTCTCAATTGGAGCAAATTTCCATCGTTGAGAGAGATTTTGCACAGCCAATGAACAGATATTTATAATGCATTTCCTAAATGAAGGGCCCAACCAGCAGATCCCTCTGGCCTGATGCCTCAATCTGTTTCCCAATCTCGTTTTTTATTTATCTTACTCTGCCCATACAAACCTGGTGCCCTGATGTGCAGTTTGACATTAGTCCTTCCAATCTCCAGTGTGCGATGAAGCGGGAGAAGAGTGGTTTGGCTGAATTCCTGCTTCCGAATCAGTCAGTCCTTAAAACTCCATAAAGTGTCCTTGGTTTGTCTTCTTCAACTTCATCTGTGCTTTGAAATGTTTCTCCCAGGAAGTGTTAGGAAACCTAATGGCCTTCTTGTGTGGCTCCAGCTGTACGTGGATAAAGTTATGGAGAATTGGTTCACCCATTATCATTCACCATATACACTTGCAGTCAATTTATTTAAAAAAATCACTTTGATTCTCTACAATTGATTTTATTCATAATAATAATAATAACTAACAGGTGGATTTTGCTCTTGTTCTTGTCATTCTTCTTCTTGTATCTAATATGAGATTACCTTTAACACTGTGTGTGTGTGTGTGTGTGTGTGTGTGTGTGTGTGTGTGTGTGTGTGTGTGTGTGTGTGTGTGTGTGTGTGTGTGTGTGTGTGGTGTGTGTGTGTGTGTGTGTGTGTGTGTGTGTGTGTGTGTGTGTGTGGTGTGTGTGTGTGTGTGTGTGTGTGTGTGTGTGTGTGTGTGTGTGTGTGTGTGTGTGTGTGTGTGTGTGTGTGTGTGTGTGTGTGTGTGTGTGTGTGTGTGTGTGTGTGTGTGTGTGTGTGTGTGTGTGTGTGTGTGTGTGCGCGTGCGTGCGTGCGTGCATGCATGCAGTTTTTCTTGACATTTTAGTGCAAAAGGTCACAGCACTTTTGAGTACTCTGTTTAATTTTTTTTAACTTATTTCTCGCATTCACAACACCAACCTTGCAAGTATGACTGAATAAAAGAAAGAGAAGAAAACCTTCTGCAAAATTAGGATAACATTAGCAGAGTAAGTTATGATACCTTAAACAAGGTCAATGATACAACCAACAATAAATAAAAAAACAGATGATAAACATACATCTAATATATATTACTTTTAGAAGACAATAACATATCAGAAAAGCTTTGTGCTACAGCGGAAAACAGGATTGGTCCAGAAGGTGCAGGATGTTGGTTCAGTACGGGGCGCTCAGCCAATGGGCTGAAGGGACCTCTAAAGCTGTCTGAAGGGCAGCCGCTTCATCTGGCAGTATCATGATATTAAAGCCAAACAGAGGGACAGCTTAACATTTGCCACCTGTCTCCCGGTTTCATTTCAGTCCATCCTGCTTTTATATTTCCCAACTCCTCAGTCAACATGTTCAGACTTTGTTAAATGTTCCTTTGGCGGGACAGTGTGTTGGATTTGATGGCATCTAACATTCCAGATTGCATCCAACTGAATACCTCTCACTCCTCTATTTAAAAGACTGAAATTGTATCTTTCAGGACCCTTCCTTTAAACAAATAAAGCGTGAAGGACATACTGTTGAAACATGTTGGAGTCAGTGGAGGAACCGTTCCCCATGTATATATATGAAAGGCTTATTGTAAGATAACAAAAAACGAAATTATTCTTAGATGCAGGTTATGACACACTTGTGAAGACTCTACACCTATGAAAACATAGCTAATACACCATAGTTATGAAGATTTTACTACACATTGGCCCTTTTTAGTATGACCATCGGCAGTTTACAACCTGGAACCTGGTATGGACAGTCCACTTCTGTTAGAAAATCACAGCATTGGTCCTTCGTTCAAGCACTTAAAACACATGGGTGATTTTAGAAGACAGGAGAAACAGCCTATTTTGTGGTTTAATAAAAAACGTAATCAGGCTCCAATGTGGATACCGTTGCTTTCTTCCCGTTGAATATGTGTGTTGTTTATGTGCCACCATCAAAGACTACCAACAGATGAATGCCCCAAAAAATCAAAGAGAATACCCAACAGTTTTCATGCTGGGAGTTGGAAATATGTAAAGGAATAAAACAGAGCCATACAACGCTGAACACTGCCTCGTTTTAATATTAATATATCAGGGTTATACCTTTCTAGGTGCTGTGAATTGAGTGCTTGTGAAACTAATGAACAAAGGCGTCTTCTCACTGAATATTCGAGGGAGAGGAATCCATAATGCAAAATAAGAGCGGGATGCAGTTTGATGTATGACCTCAGAGTCTTTCCCTTTGGATTGAAGATGGCTCTTGTCAAAGTATGGGCCTTATGTAGTTAGTGCTGAGAAGCTTCAAGTCCTTCTCTGACATTGGACATGATAAAAAGACAGTGTTTGAAATGTGATTGACAGGATTATGATGTACACTTAAAGCAAGCATCTAGGCTTAAGGAGATAACGTAATAAACTCAAGCATACACATGTAAATACTTTAGATGTCCAAAGGCACACCAACACACTTATACACAACGTGCACTGAACAAACTCTTCAGTGTGGACTATGCAGTGTTACCAGACAGGACTCATGGGGAGTGTGTGCAGACAAGAGCCTTGATCCAACATCGTCATAGTTTCTGGAACACTGCAGTGTTATAAAAGCGACTGGAATATGCATGAGTGGGAGACTGCCGTGATCGAAATGTGCTAAAGAGAGTCAGTGCTTGTGTACTACCCTCGAAGGTGTGGGAGAGGAAGAAGGGAGAGATAAACTAGGGCAAGGAATAGTAAAGTAGACAACAAGGTGGAGCTGCTCGCAGATACTTCACTGGCCTGAGCCTGAACACAAGCTTCCCTCAAGCACTGGGTCTCAATCTGATCGTTTTAACCCAATTCGCAATGCTGCATGGCAAAGCCTACTCATCACATCTTTGTGTGTGTGTTTGTGTGTCTTTAGCCGAAAGATGCTCATTTTTTCTTGTTAGTAAATAAAGCATGACATGGTTGTAGTGGTTAGTGACATACATAAACGCTGACACATTTTTCCTTGTATCTCTTTCAGGAAAACCTCCTCCTACTCGGATCGGTGCTTCTGAAAAATGAGCTGCCAATGTAAGTCCTTTGCCTGACCTTAGCACTCAACCGGTAATGTTGCTTTTCAATTCATTAAACCTAGCAGAAGTTAAAATTGAGTACACAAACACTCATGCAGGCACCGAGCCGTAGCCTCGGATTCCTAACCTTTAACTTTCTGCTCCTCACTAACCATCAGGGACAGGATTCACCCCCGACTCCATTTATTAGCAGCTAATTGCTATTCCCCACAAATACGCTGACGGGACATCAAAGGCTGACTCACTGCATGACAAGCTGGTGGAATTCAAATCAATCCTCCCTTCAGTATTATGCCACACAGTTGCTACCTCTGGTTTTTGTTTTGTCATTCCCAGCACAAGGAAAGCTTTGTGCTATTAATAATGCATGAGGATGTGAGTTTTCCAGAAGCTTCTGTAGTTGTATTACAAACTACTGCTGGTGCTGTAGCTCTCAAACAGTTCTCAGGGCAGAGTGGTCGGTCAGTGCTGGTAACAGTCAAGATAAGAAGCTGCAGCTTTCAGAGAAGCACAGTGGATAAGATTGACATGTGAGGAACAGGTTTACAGGAATTGTTTAGTGAAATCACATCTTTTACACATTACGTACTCATTTTATGTTGTATGTATTTGATATGGTGAGTGTGTCACATCAGTTTCCTATTTTCACAAATTCTATTGACACAGAGCAACATCAACGTCGTCAGGAGTTTGTGACCTACTCAATCAAATGCATAGTATTTACTGTACCACAGTTTCCAACCTGATAGGAATATATCTGACTTTTAAGCAGCTAAATCCATCCATTGTTGAAATAAAACGTTTTAGTAGTGAAGCTTTTAAGCTTATGAGTTGTTTTATACACTAATGGAACAGGTTGAACCGTTTTTCCAACACTGGCATATTTCTTTCTCTGGATTTTTGATTTATATGATATTAAATGACTTGGGAAGATGGAGATTTTTTATCTTGGCTTGATGTAATTCTTTATTGGAATAATGTCATTACAGTAAAAACATAGAGGAAACATGAGTGTAGTAGTTTACACACCCTTGGTCATTGTGTTATCGTCTTACTTAATATCACTGAGCACAAGCTGTACAAATCCCAGCCATAAACATGTGGAACTGCTAGTATGGAGTGCTTATATATATACTGTATATATATATATATGGCTTCTAGTCCATTCTGCCACTTTATTAGATGTGAAATCTCACAGTACTGCACCAAATTCAATTTAAGGATTACACAAACATGACCAATTCTCACATGCAGCAACATATTCAATGTCATGCCACTGCCCTTCATTCTTTCACACACACACACACACACACACACACACACACACACACACACACACACACACACACACACACACACACACACACACACACAGCACCCGTCTTTGTGGTTTCTCTCAAATATTTGCATCCACACCTCCTATATCACACAAACGCACATGCACTCTGAGACATGCATTTGCATACAAATACACCATTTGACATTCACACACACACAGGCACATGTACACCTAAGCAGACACACACATTTTCACACATATTGCCAGTTTTTTTCAGAAACAGGGGGGCCTGCCAGAGGTGTTGCTGTGGTTAGGAGATAACAGGAAGCTCCAATCACGGGCTTCCTCTCAAGGCCCCTGATGGTAGTCTCCCTTGGGTGGAGGATGAGAGGGTGTAGCTGACATCACATTCACAATGGGCCATGCTAGAGATGTTAGAATTGGGGCTGGGGGTTGCTTTTGACACCCGCTTTTGTACAGTAACCGCAAACACTTTCTCTACAGTGGATTAATTCCTGCTTTCCTTTTTAGGTCAAAGTGAGACACGTTGCATTTGCCAGGGGATAATCAGATCAATGATCTCTTTGCAAAAAGGAACGACAGAAAGGATACGGCCACAATATTGAAACACTGCGATTAAAGCTGAGCGCGCTCTGTGAATGAGAATAAGAAGGAGAGCTGTGATTGATGCAATACTCTCTCCTGTCTGTCTGCACACAAAGAGACAGACTGTGGCTATTTTCCTGAATCATAGTGTACAACTTATTTTGTCTCTTCTCTCCTTACTCACTCGTCTCTTTGCACACTTGCATAACAAATCCTATGTTATTAAAAAGCCTCTTATGGGTGCAGACAGTAAGAGGAAGGCTTGGAAAGGCTTGGAAAGGCTTTTTAGGCGGCATCAAAGTGCTCTTACCGTCCTACACATAGAACATAAGCTGGGTATCCTAAATACTGAATTACTTCCTCATATTCATTTTGCTGCATGCAACACTCCTTCTAGCTCTTTTTATTTATGATGATAAAAAAGCAAAGATATATATATTTGGTTTCCAGAGATGAGTCACAGCCGAGGAAACATGTGTTCTAATAAACCAGCACAAAGCACACAGCCCACTCACGCTGTGATAACATTTGTAGAAAAAATAATCAAAGTAATGTTTTACTATGTCAAGGTCAACATCCTCTCCAACTCAATAGTCCCATCAGCAAAGCAAATCCACATTGCCTGATTCTGTGCAGTTTAACAAGATAATGAGTCTCAGTGGTGATATTTAAACCTCAGTAGGATGGAAATCTCCCGGGAGAAAGTTGATTAGGAAGACTTAAAATGTAGTGAAACAGCCTCTAATTTATAAAACACACTTTGAAACCACTCAAACAACATCGCTTTTGTTCATTATTCACGGCTGTGACAATAACAAAATGTTGCTGTAAATCCAAATATTGTCGAGATGGGAAAATGTCAGCCCTGGTGCATTGTGTCAAATGTACAATGTAGGTACATGAAAAACAGGAGTTGAGCTTGTCACATTATGTCAGAAAATGTGTTCTTTATCTCGTTGTTTGTGAGCTAAACGTTTTCTTAAACACCTGCAAAGAATCTTCCTTTAACTGCCAGACCAAGAAAAAAGCTATGGAAAAATAATGTGTTTGCATTTTCTTATCAAATGGGCCACAAATAAGCACAAACCATTTTATTTATTTTTTGACTGACCACACAGTTTTGTTTTTATGAGCCTCTACCAACTGGTCGAGCTGACCTTCTATGGTAAAAGTACATTTTCAACAATCATCATATACAGTACATGCAGTATTTGTATGCATCAAACTCAAATAAAACACAAACTCAAATACATTTGTTTCTTTTATGGAAAATGAGCAATATATACAACCAGATATATTCATAAAGATAATAAATTATAATTGGAAAAATGGAAAAAAGTAATGTAAAGTGTTTTTCATGATAAAAAAAATACTTGCTCATCTTACTGTATATGCTGAATTGGCCTAACAGGAAACCACTGGCCTAACAGCAAATGTCTATATCCTGTGTTGGCCTAACTAACCTAATGCATGAAAGGTGTTATATAAATTATTATCACTCTTTCACTCTGAGACTCATAAGGCAGTACTAGATGTAGTCATATTACCATGAATCTAGCCATTTATTTACCATATTTTATTGGAAAACATCTCTGAAACTCTGAAAAAGTCATATTGCTAGCTTACCATAAAAGGCCAATTCGACCGATTGGTTGAGCATATTTTCAAAAAAATAATTACACCCTTGTTAAAACTTTTTTTGTGCATCAAGTTATCTAATTATGTTCAGTCAGTGCCCTGCCACTAAACTATGTCAAAAAGGATATGGTTACCTTACAAAAGTTGACCAAAAAGAGTGATTTCTTCAGCAGTGATTTTTAGCATTGCCAACTTCCTCAGTTGAAGCTAGCTGAAGGGCTTTCTGTTCGAACCACAGTGACATCTAGAGGTTGTTTTGTGCATAACATGTCAACCAAAGGGTTGAGCTGTCTGAATTTTTTTATTTTATTTTTAACACGATATCAAGACACAAAATGTGCTCTACCAAATGGTGGTGCTGGCAGTTAAAGGGTTAATTGAGAGAGAGAAAGAAAACAAAATATTTCCCACAATGGGAAAAGACTTGACGCTCAGCAATATGTATCTCGCATCACGGCCAGGTGCTTTTACAGATTTAATAAGAGAAGAAACATTAAAATGTTATCAAGCTTTCCCAAGGAGTGAGTTATAAGTACCTCTAAAGCTGTTTTAATATCAAAAGACTGAGCATGAGCATAGAAAGCTGATATCTTTATAGGTTTGACATGATATTGATATCATAAATTACACTGAACAGAATCACGCCATAAATAGTATGTTATGGTGTCTGAGGACTGTTTGGTGATTACTCCAGCCACAAGAATAATGCTGCAGGACCACAGACTTTCCATGAGTGCACATAAATAGCTGCATTAAGGGATTCATAGCCGCGCTTGGGGTGGGGCTCTTAAGATGGCACTATTTTGATAATCGATTAATCAATACAGTTATTTTTAATGCAAAAACTGCAGAGAATTGTGTGTTTTTTAGCCTCTCAAATATGGATAATTTATATTAAACTCAATATCTTTGTGTTTAGACTGACAAAAAAGACTTTCAAAGACTTTGGATTTAAATTCAAGGTATTTTTCACAATTCTGTTAGTTTATAGACCATCAAATCTGCAGATTATTTTGTAGTGAAAATTATCCTTTCTCGCAGCCCTACAAGTACCCATAGATATTCTTTGTAAAGCATGCTGCTCATTGGAGTCTGCAGCATAATACGTCCATGTGTATTTGGGGAACATTTGAGGGATGTAGTTCACATCTCCTAAATGTCAGGGCTCTGCGTGATTTAAAGCCAGTAGATGCTGGCTTTATGATCGTTGTCATGGCAACGGCTCATCCTTGCGCCATTGACAGGTTGACAGGCGGGCATTAGGGTATTATTGTGACGTCAGGTGGGGGTTGTGAGGCATGAATGCAGTGTTGACCCACTTGGCGTCCAGAGGGGACCCCTGTCCTCCCCCCCCATCACACAATCACCCCTCGCATCTCGACAGGAAGTGACTTTTCACCTTTTCCTTCCCCAGCAGGAAGCCTGGCTGCTGCTGCTGTTTCCTCTGAAGAGAGAGATAGTTCAAGGCTCTGTGG